AACAACGACTGCATCTCGCCTACAACCCCCTGCGCCAAAGCCGCAGCGTGGCCAGCACCTGACAATTAAGGAGGAGCGTCTCCATTAGGACAGAAGCAGATTGGCATTTGAGATAAACTAACACTCCATGGCAGCTTTTTTTTTTTTCTCTCTCTTTGCAAACGTCGTTGAAAAGAGATGGGTTACACATGGCAGGCACAAGAAAGAGGGAAGAGTGGCACCTGCGCGTGAGAGAGGGCCACACTCCTTGACAGCTTTATTTTTTTTCTCTCTGTCTCTTTGCTGGCGGCTTTGGAAGCAGAAGGGTCTTTATGTGGCAGGGGCGGAAAAGGGAGAACCGTGGCACAGGCGCGTCCCAGGTCGGCATTTTGACGGAAAGCAAACACTCCACCACCGCCTTTTTTTTTCTTTTCCTTTTCTTCGCGCACATCGTTGAGATGTCAGAGGTGCCGCCGCGGGATTAGGCGGGGTGCTGAGAACATTTTCGGAGTGGTGTATGTTCGAATTGACCGTTGTAAGTGCTTGCGTGTTTGAATTACCGGGCGTTTTCACCCATTGGAATACACATAACTTTGACGGGACCCTATCAAGAGTTCGAATTAACCGGAAGTTTGAATTAAGCAAGTTCAAATTAGGCGTGTTCAAATTAATGAGATTCTACTGTATCAAACAAAATGTTTCACGGCTGAAACTTAATTTGGGTGAACAGCCTGTTTATAGCAAACAGTGCCGAAACCTGTTGCCCATAGGCCAAGGTGGCTACATTACAGTACCCGGAGTGACTCGCAAATAAAAAAAAAAATGATCACTTTTTATGCATTATCACCAGTCAAATATGAGAAGCTATTGATGGCATGCTAAACTTTCAACAATGAAGATACATGCAGAGGCACAGATACTTTGGTGAGGCCGAATATAATGACGAAAAGTGCATCGCTAGAATGGAGCGAGTAGAGGGCATCGGCGAAATTATGGAAATGCTCTTATGGAAGTTGTGTTGTAGCAATGAAGAATAGTCTTGGGCCATAAACGGCTCACTCTAAACAGGTGGGACTGCAAGTGAACTTTGGCGTAGCTAGTGCAAGCTGCACTCAAATGTACCCAGCAAGGCGCAGGGATATGGAATTGTAGCAAAATGACGCAGTGTGATCACCACTGACCTTACCTACTCCTAGCCCCTTTATTGTCACAGCATCAGCACTGTGCATCCTGTAACAGACCATTCACCCATACTCCCTAGACACTTGTCTCGTATGTACCGTGGCCTTGTCTTTCCCACCACCACTGAGCCCCACACATCATTCACTATGCCATCGTTCACCAATCAAAGTGCATTACGGCAAAGAATTTCTGTGCCTGTATTCCATTTACTTCCGTGTGTTATTTTCAATATGTTGCCAGCCCCAATGGCATTGGAATCGGCCTTAGAATTTCTTCTAGGGGCCAACTCAATGAAGACACCATTAACAATCAATAATTATGACTATAGAAAAGCTTGAGCAAATATCCAAATAATAGGGAGCCTAGAACAACGAGTTCACTCGGGGAAAAAAAAAGTGACATCATTTCATAAAATGGCAAGAAAACTTGTTATAACCTCGCCATTACACAAGCACTAAAGGGGCCCAGCAACACTTTTCCCAGTTACCATAGAATGGCTTCACTAAAGAAGTTTACTGCCTCCCATAATTGCCAAGTACGAGATACAGTGAAAGCTCGTTAATTTGAACTTCAATAATTCAAATTTATAGATAATCCGAACTGTAAGTTATGGTCCGGCCAAGCTCCATACAAGCCTATGAATAAAAAAGCCCGTTAATTCAAACGCGAGTAGGTTCTGCCGCGGATAATTCGAACTACGCGCCACGGCACCGGCGGCTTGGCTAGTCACTCGATAGGGCTGCTGCCGAGTTACGAGGCGGCGTTGACAGGGAGCGGAGAGAAAAACGGAGAAACTGTCACGGAGGCCTGAGTGCAGAAAATAACACCACTTACTCTTCAACCCCCTCCCCCACAATCTCTCTCTCGCAGCGGCTGCCTGCTCTCCGTCTTACGTAACCTCCAAGATTTGTTTTTTTTTAAGCGTTGATCTCAGAGCCTTTGAAAAATCCTGCGTAGTTGTCGCTGTTAGACGACAGACGGCATGACCAGCACACAGCAAATCGAGTGCGTTGTAGCTTCGCCCAGCCTTCTCTGCAGTCTCTGTCTCGGGCGTGCGTCGTACACCTCGGTTGTTGGTGCCGGGAGTAGCTTCCGACTATCGCGATTCTTTGTGTTGGTGTTAGGCCTCGGCTAACGTTTGTTGCGGTAGCATCGATAGTAGCGTCTCGTCTGTCGTGATTCTGCTGCTCCGACTTGATGGCGTGTGCCCGCGGCAAATACCGTGTCAAAACACTTCAGGAGAAAGCTAATATTCTGCGGGAAGTGGACGCCGGACTCTTGCCTAAGCAAGATATCGCGAGAAAGCATGGGATACAGAAAACGACACTATCTACTTATATAAAAAATAGGAAGACTACTGAAGATGCCTTAGAGGCAGAAGTTGCGAGCAAAAGGAGGAGGTTGCGGCCCGCAAAGTATCCTGACCTCAAGAAAGCGCTTCTCATTTGGATAAAGAAATGCGTTCGCAGGCACATACCACTGAGTGGCCCAGTCATACTGGCAAAGGCAGCGGACTTCGCCCTGCAGCTAGACTACGACGACTTCACTGTTTCAGATGGGTGGTTGCACCATTCTCGCGAGCGCTACGACCTCGTTTTCCGTGCTGTGTCGGGTGAAATGAACGCCGTCAATATAAAATGTGTCAAGGTTGGCGCTCCGAAGTGCTTCAAGGCTAGACGGAGAACTATTCTCCGCAGGACATATTTAATGCGGATGAAAGTGTCTTATTTTTCAAATCGCTGCCTGCCAAAACTATCACTTATAAAGGCGACAAGTGCACGGGAGGGAAGAAAAGAAAAGAACGAATAACTGTGATGGTTGCTGCGAACATGACCATGACCGAGAAGTTGCCTCTGTTTGTGATAGGCAAATCCAGAAGTCCTCGTTGCTTCAAGAACATCCGGTCCCTCCCATCAGACTACGCGGCTAACAAAAAGGCCTAGATGACGGGGGACTTGTTCGCGCAGTGACTGGGGAAGCTTGACAAGAAGTTCGAACGCTGTGGCCGCAAAGTCCTGCTTCTTGTGGACATCTGTACGGCTCATAAAGTCAATGTTGAGACTAAAGCCATTGAGCTGGCCTGCCTTCCAGTAAACATGAGAGCGATACTGCAGCCCAAGTACCAGATTATAATCAAAAATTTTAAATCATTTTATCGGCGTCATATGTTGGAACGAATTATTTTGCTATCACTACGAAGTGACGTTTCTGTGTGCACTACACATACTTGTGCGTGCTTGGGAGCAAAGGACAGCGCTTACGATAGGAAATTGCTTTCGCCACTGTGGCTTCAGCACCGAAGCTCTGCAAGCTGACGAGCCACCAGTGCTCGAGCACGGCGTCACCGCCCCCATGGCGGACATTTTGGAAGACGTCTGCTTTGCGGACTACGTCAATGTGGACTCAAGTGCAGTTGTGTGTGGTGCACTCACGGATGGCAACATAATATGTCAGGTGAGAAGTGCAGAACCTGTCGCTGCCAGTGACGATGATGAGGAGGAGGACGAAGCACCAGTGCAGCCCTCTGCTGCGGAAGTCATGGCCGGATTGAATGCCGCCCGTTTTTTCTTAAGTTTTGAAGAAGGCGGAGAAAAGACCTTCCGCTAAATTCACTTGTTAGAGCAAAAAGTGCTGGCTATCGCCATCAAGAAAAGAAGGCAGACCGCGATCACAGATTTTTTCAAAAAATAAATTGTTATGCCCTACTCGCAGTGTACTATCGTTGTTCTTCACTTTCGTTAGTTCGAACTTTCGTTAATTCAACTTGAGGTGGCTTCCCCTTGCGGTTCAAATTAACGAGCTTTTACTGTATGTAATTGCTTTATCTTCCCTCATCCCGACGAACAGTGCTGGAAGCTAAGCAGGAAGGAAGGGAGGGAAAAGAAGTTAGACCACTTTTTTTTTCTATTCATGTGTGGCTAAGCTTGAGTGAGCCTTTTACGGACAGGCGCAATAACTATGCAGCCCACGATGCTCAAATCTGACAATGGACAGGATATCATTTGTAGAAAGAAAAAAACAATTTTCAGATAATTAGTTGTGAATTCCAGGCTGCTTCCTGTGTGTTCGAGGCTGTTTGGCTCGCGTGTTCTCAGGAGCCTCGTCGTACGATGAAGGTTTTTATGACCCTGCTGAAAGAGGTAGCAGCCTGCTTTTTGATACTGTCACCACATATCTCCAATAGTAGGATCAACATCACCTAATCTTTACTCCCTAGCAACAAAAAAAGCAGCATCACATTCTGGGGTGCTTCGAGTGTTCAATGCATTAGGATAATGTTTCTGTTCTGACTATGCCTAGTGGTGCAAGCAGGTCTAATTTGTCGACCAGGCACTTTTGTTGGTTTTACCGGAGCAAGACACAAAACAGCCTCCCTGAGGACTCATCACGGTCTGCTTCTCCAGGCCATATGCATTGCCGCAGAATAAAACTGTTACTCAATGTTCCCTACAAAACTGCCACTGAGAATATCACGGTGTTTCTAATCAAGAAGCTAACTATTACATTTTAGTCCACCAGCTAATTAACATGTCCTAGAGTATCCACGACTAGTTTGGAAGAGGGTTCTTATTTCTTTTTTTTTTTTTTTTTGATGAGCCCATATTTATGAATTTTCAGTAATACATTCTGGCAAATTAGTTGATTCATTGCTGTCAGGCATTCTAAAACTGCATGAAATAACCAGGACACAAGAAAACACTGCACTCACATTCTGTGTGCATAAATACCTGTTACAACAACCCACAAGAATGTTCTTCATGCAATGGTTCATTCTTATGACTGTTCTGTGCCTGGTGCAAAATGTGAGGCCACACTGTTCTGCTCATAGCAGCACTTACTTTCTCAGGTTGTGCATCTCCTTTTCTGCCCAGAGATGGATGACCTTCCGTGGGTTTAGCTTGTTAAAGCGCTCTCGAAAACGGAAGTCCTCACGGATGTACTGTTCCCGATTCTTGAACTCGTTCAGCGTTGTCTTGAACACCTTTACTGCACACTCCGGGGGCACCTTAAACTCCTCAGTCCTGCAGAAAAAAAAAAAGTCCCCTTACTTTGTAATTAAAGCAGTTCTCGAAGGAATGTGCTGATGCAAAAAAGCAAATATAAGCCAACATAGACTCCTGTTAAGGTGAATTTGAAGGGGTCGTGGCCATTTGTTCGTCTTATCAGTAGTTTGGCTTATAAGACGTGGCCTCCTGACATGTTGGCATGCTAACATGCCAAGTGTATTCAAATAAGTTTCTCAACAACACTGGATAGATTTACAATAGGGGATCGTTAATTAGTTAGATATAACAATGCCAGGACTGCGCGGAGGGTGCAACATAGTCACAGCGAAAGCTAGAAGAGCGGCCTTTCAGAGCCTTTTCTAAACACTTGTTTTTATTTTTGTTGACTTTCCCTTGTGGCTCATACCCACTGTGGGGATTGGCCAATAATTGAGTGGTCTTATAAAGTATTATTCGATTTTAGAGAAAAGGAAACTTATAAAATGAAAATGTTACAAACTTTAGAACAAAATTTCGACGATCACTGAGCTGTACCAGCTATGAAGATTTTGTATTATAAATAGATAATAACCTAGATAAAAACCTAATTAAAAAAAGGTATATGAATGTCGACACAGAAAAATAATAAGATTAGTTTGTCAGTCTTTTGGTTTCATTCAGATAATTCTGCACTGCCTCGCAAACACTCGCACTGGCAAACCCAGAAATAGAGGCTCTAAAGAAAGGAATCACGAGCATGGATAAATTCATTCCAATAGCACGTAAAGGATTTTCTTACTTGAATCTACAAGCTGTAGTAAATCGCCTACATGTCAAAAAGTAATGATCCATAGTTTCTGACTCGCCACAGACAGCGCACATTGAAGAAAGAGCCCGACCAGACCTGTGTTGGTAGAGATTTAGTTTCCGCACCCTACAGCGCAGCCTCGTAAATGCGACTAGTTTATGTGTGTCACAAAAGGATTAGCGCCAGGGGTATAAGTACCGGTATTCCATGAAATTTGTGAGTGTTGTACCGACAAAACTTTTCATAATGTTACGACTACGAAATCGCGCAGCCGTTATATAAGCGGATGGTAGAAAACACTGTAAAATTGGCCCACTTAATATGACTTCGCTAAAGATTCGGCCATTTCATTTAAGAGCAACCCTTTATGGCCCGGCACCCAAACTAATCTAACTTTTCTGAACGGGATTATTTATGTAGATAACGCCTTTATTGGGCAACTACTACAAGCACACTTGCTTGATACCCACTAGGGCATTAATAACAGAATGCTTTGGGTAGTGGGCCGGCATTCGCTATGCCATTTTTTGTCATTCTCCTGAGAAGTGCGATATCCGGTAAACACTCGCAACGAATTTTGTGCCGATTGTTCATGCAGTGGCTGATGACAATCAGGAAATATGGCTGAAGTCGGTAGGTGCCACAGTTAATAGGGGAACAAGAACAAGCTTTTGTAATGGGTTGGAGCATTGGATGACCCACTCGTTACGCTATTCACAATGTGCGACGACTGGTTGTTCTTTCACTGTTTTAAAACGCTTTATAAGTCATATTAACGCAATTGTTTTCCCGATATCAAGCCTGCCTAAGGCAAGTTTGCCAACAAGTTTCAAGCACCGGTGTGGCTGAGTGGTAGAATGCTGGGTTGGCACCCAGCATTCCGGGTTTAAGCCCCACTGTGTCATTGGTGCTAGGTTGTTTTTTCTAATTTCACGCGATGTGGCTGTGGACACCAGCAGCAGCGGCGGCGGCGGACAACTGCGCGTGACCCTAGTTGCGATCTCATAACAGCTTTCGCTGTAAGAATATACAGGCCCCGAGAGCTTACCTGTATCAGACCATCACTTACAATAGGCGCATTCAGGAATGAGAACTGATTCTGCATACACGCTGAAACAGAATGTTTTATTTGCCTGAGAAAAAATTGCTTATCTTGGCCTGCTTCTTCATTTTCTAAATGAAGTTGAAGACACTGGTCTCGATCTTATCAAGGCTGTCTAGTTGCGACAGCCCAGTTGACTCCATGTCCGGCGAATGGATGCCGAACGCTGCCACAACTTCCGCGGTCTTGTTCGTCACTTGAGCTCTCAGCTGGGCATCCTGGGTCCCTGCGACCGCAGCTACGATGTCCTCGTCAGCGCAGGCTCGCAGTGACCTGAACATTGCAGTCCGCTTCCACGAAATCATCTGCAGACAGTTCGTGTGAAACAGCTATCAGGATGAGGGACGACAACTTGCGAAACGCGTTGTCTAAGCACTCGTCGTCATATTCACTGGTTTCCGCAAGTTCCGCCGTCCTACGACGATCTCCCGACGTATGCAGCTCGACCTCCTTTGCCTTGGTATATGCCTTGTTCTTCAACAACATACTAGGAGTGCTCCGTGGTATCCCGAAGTCGTCTGCGGTGATCGAACACTTCTCGCCCGCCTCAACCCGCTGATTAGCCTTCAACGTCGTCGCAAAGTCAAGGGTCTTGCGCTTCTTGACGCTGGCCATAACTACACGAAAATTCGACAATTCTAAGACTCAGCAGTGGCTTTGCACACCAAGCACACAAAAGAAGAATGCTGCACATGCGGTGGTACATAGACGACGCGACAATGAAAGCGGACTCTGCCAACAAAGCGCTTGGGAGACGATGGTTACCGGCGGTTAACAGCAACAGCGACGGTTAACAGCGATGGTTAACAGCAAAAGGCGCAAGCTGTGGTTGGCTGATCAAAACTCGCAAAACAGCAACTAAAATTAAAAGAAAAGGCGAATGGAGAAGGCCGTCAGCTCCTTTCTTCCTGCTCTTCAAGCCAACGAGAACACAGAGAAATCATGAGAGAAAGAAAAAAAAAAGCCGTTCCACAAGTTGGAGACCGTGCAGTCCGAGCCCTCTCGCCCATATTTTTTTTGAGCGTTTCGGGTTTGGACAGAGGCGCAGGCCCGCTCAAAGGTCGATGGGTGCTGCGAGTGCCAAAGTGCACTTCCAACTCCATTGTGCAGTCGCGCTACCGGGGAGATCGTAGGGTGCAATAAGTGCTGAAGCGCACCTTGCAGCTCACGCGGTGTTCGATGTGTCCGAAGGCAGAGAAAAATACGGTTCGATATAAACGTGCGAATTTCTATACTTTTACAAAGGAATTTCAAGGGGATAACTTGCGAGTTGGATATACCTAAAAGTTCTATATACATGGATTCGATATATCCGTGTGCGACTGTATTCATATTGCTTAGTGCTTTGGCAACAGACGGCACATTCATTATGTACCGTTAGGCACCGTCGAAAAACCGTCTGCTAGCATCTCTACAAGGATAGTCCATGGAGAGGCTGAGCCACTCATTCACGTAGCTTTCTGACAGCTTTTTTTTTTTTTGTCAGCGTCGAACTGTCAGTGAACCTCATTGTGTTGCCACAAATTAACGAGGTCTGCGCACTGCAAAAATAATATAGATGGTAGCTGCATGAGGCACATTGCTTCGCAAAGCTGTACAGCTGTTCTCTAGTGACATGTATTTCTGATCTGAGGTAGGTGTTGCAAAAAATTGTTCATTGAAAAGGAGACGAATTTCTTAAACTTCTCAGATCACCTTCTGCAGCAATACATCTCCATTGTATTTCCTACTGCAATTATGATAACATGCTTCAGATATCGAAACAATTTTCTTTTTGTGCGACCTGTGCATTGCTATGCTGCACTCGTCAACTCATTTCTTCAGCCACAGATATCTCTACACCCTTTGCAATAGCGTGTGCCGTAGTTTTTATTTTAATAAACAAGTACTACGAACATATGCGTGAGCAGTGCACTGCTAACCAACAAAACTACTGATCGTACGTTTCAGTTGTATGCGGATAAAGCATCCCGAGTAACGCTGTTTTAATACACACTGGCTGCTTGTAATGCCTTGTAGCCATAGTCTATCGCACGTATAGTGTGCTGTTGTTCTGGTTTTCTTGAATGCTATACATGTGGGTTCATAGACTTATCTTTCTAAAACATCGTGCTTTTTGCTTCCACACCATGGAGGCATGCATTATCGCACGCTGTAGAATCTTGCAAACATCATAAAAACATACAAGTGTCCAGGAGCAGCAGAAAAATGAGTACGACGACCTACTGAAAAAGTAGCCCCATCTACAGTACAGCAGAAATAGAAGAAAAAAATGAAAGACGATAGTGTAAGGAGAAGGGCAGAAGCGGCGTGCTGACCATATACGTACTTCGCACACACTGCCTTGCGAAGCTTACAGTGAGGTGGCTGTGTAAATTTTGTGAATAGGTCTTCAGTTTTTCAGTTTTTTTTTTTTCAGTTTATTTCAGTTATTAGTACAGAAAAAGGAACAGTATACAAAGTATATATACAGGAGGAGGTCCGAAAGCACAAGGCTGCAGGGGGACCTCCTGTTCAAAATGGGATTACAAAATTTACTCAATTAGCAGTAGCAGCGAAAACAGAGAGATGAGTAAGTTGATAAAACCAACACTAACTAAGAAACAAGTAAAAAGAAGAGTGGAATAAACAATATAACAAGATAAAAACATCTAGTAGTTTATCAAGTACGAATACAATTGTTTTTTAAATGTGCCAATAGTCGAGTATTGCTTGATGTGAGATGGCAATGAATTCCATAATGATAATGCTGAGAAATATGCAGTGTGGCGACCAAAATTAGTGCGGATAGTAGGAAGTAGAAAATTTCCATTTGAAGCGAATCTAGTACGGTTTAAGTTAGACAAAGCATTAGGATAAAAGACGCTTGATGGGACAAGATGGTGCAAGGATTTGAACAGCATGATAATGAGGTGATATTTAAATAAACTAACAGTAGAAAGTATTTCGAAGTTACGAAGTAATGATGATGCACTAGAAAGATATGAACTGAAAGTCATTAGTATGATGGCTTGATTTTGAATGTGCTAAATGGGAGATAAGTGGGTGAGGTATGTATTTCCCAAAGTGGTGATGCAATAATTAATATGGCTGTGAATAAAAGCATAATATAACTTGATTAGAGTT